TCAGCATTGACTACTTAATACAGTCTGTTTAAAGGAGTCTGTTTTATATAAGCCAAAATATAAAAGGAAAAAAAAAAGATTGTTAAGACTATTGAAGGAATCATGTTAAAAGAAATGTAAAGGAAATAATATTTTCCCAAGTCACATGAAAACACTGACTTGCTGGCTTACTTATCTTAATTAGAAAATGCCTGTAAATCAGCATGACTGTTTTGTTTAGATTGGTTATAAAACCAGGCAAAAAAAATCTGGCACTTTAAACTCTTGTTACAGAAAACTAAACATGGAAAAAATGAAATCTGTTATAAATATAGATAAATAAAAACACCTAAGCATTTTGAGAAATATAACTGGTTTTATATTAGTGAAGTAAATTATGATTTGCATTAGAATTAGAATGCCAGTAGTCCATAAAGAATATAGAAAGGAATTTTAAGAAAGCAAAGGAGATGATGGTGTATATATGGAATTTTTTGTACACTGGAAAAAACTCTGTTTTCAGCAAGATGCACGTGTTTTGTCAGCTCATAGTATTGCTTTTGTCCGTCACCATGATCTTCCTTAGTATAGTAAAGTTAGGCTTAGATTAGAATACAAGCCCCCTTGTATTTCTGCCAGAAGTGTGTTTTTCTGTCTTTTTTATTTTGTTAAGAATGTTAATTTTTTTGTTGTTGTGAACTGAGTGATAGTTTACATGGGAGAACATCGGCTTTACACCATAGTTTCATTGCGATGATTACGGTCTTTCCGTGCATCATCATTCAACAGAGGAGGTAAAGAGGAAAATCATTGTTTGGGGAAATACATGTATCATGGCATTGGTGGTAGCAGAACTTGGTTCCCTGCCTTTATTTCTGATCTCTTTATTAGAGGCAGCTGTAACATACTGAGAGGAGGTCAGACAGAGGAAAGGATCTGTGTATTCAAAACGGGAAGCAGTGCTTTTGATTTAACGTGCTTCATTAGGTTTACATAATTTCAGAGCATTTTCTGTTGATTAAAGATACGAGAATAGTAGTAAGCACTTCATCTGTGGCTGAGACTGTTCTAGACAGTCATATAGGCTGAATGTTAATGGATATACTGTTGCCCTTTAAAGCTTTCCACTTTGGAAAATAACAAAACCTCAGCAGTAACTATCTTCAACTTGTGAAGGTTTTCCCCACAGTCTCTGACATCCATCACTTTTTCTTTTCTTCCATTATTCTCTGTCTATATACTGGTCTGTACTGGCCTTTTCTCTTCTTCTGTCTATAGGTATCCCTACAACACCACCCTTAGAACAGTACTTTTATGAGTGCTGGAACCTACAAGATGAAATATAGACCGAGTTTCACTTTACAAAACAGATCTAGAAGACCTAAGCGAAGCTGTGGCTCCTTGTGAAACTCAGTATTTCTTTCACAGGGTAGGTGGTCATCAATTGTGCTGTGTTGCCTTCTCATGTGCTTACAAAAATAAACTTGGCAGAAAGCGGGACTTCACAGTTTCATGGTTCAAAATGAAGCCCTGAATATAATTTCAAATACATTTTTGATGACCTTTATGTATCTGAGTTACTATTTGAAGATTTCTTCTTCATTGCCTGATTTTTAAAGTACAAACCAAATCCATTTTAATAACTCTTAAGATGTATCAGACTGCTATGTTTCATGTAACGTGCGCTAAAATTGTGGTTTACTTACAGAGTGCACTGAAGTCAGACCCTACAAAAATCCTTGAATTGCTAAGCTTACTTCCACTATTTGGTGTTTTTGTGAGATGTTTTAGAAAAGAGTAACTACCAAGCAGGCTGATAAGCTGTCAATATACAGAGATGACACTTGTAGAAGAATTCATCTTAAACTATATTCTACTGTGATTTGAAGACCTTTGTGTTTGAGACAAAAAGAGATGCAAAGGGAAAAGCAAATTTTTCTCCCTGAGTAATTTTGTAGTGGTTCAGAGGCAGAGGGTGGGGCAGGGCAGAATTCTGTGCCATCTACTATGAATTTTGTTTGCCTTGAGCTAATACTACCTTTTGGAGTCCTGATGTGGCGCTATAGGATAAGCACTGCACCATAAGGTCTGTTTGACCCACAAGATCAGTGGTTCAAACTCACCAGCGGCTCTTCGGAAACTGTATACAGGGTCGCTATGAGTCAGAACCAACTTGGTGGCACTTCACAACAAAAACAGTGTTTCTTTTTAGCATTCTCCATATGTTGCTGTGGTTGTTAAGTGCTGTTGTGTCGATTCTAACCCATAGCAACCCAGTATAGGGGCTCCAAAGAGCAACTAGTGAGTTTGAAACTACTGAGCTTAAGGTTCAAACTGACCTTGCAGTCTTGCACTAATCAAGCCCCCTTGTATTTCTGCCAGAAGTGTGTTTTTCTGTCTTTTTTATTTTGTTAAGAATGTTAATTTTTTTGTTGTTGTTGTTGTGAACTGAGTGATAGTTTACATGGGAGAACATCGGCTTTACACCATAGTTTCATTGCGATGATTACAGTCTTTCCGTGCATCATCATTCAACAGTATTTGCTTCCATTCCCTCTGTTTTGTTTTGGCAGAGGTGGGGGAGGTAGAACAGTGTACACAGAAACACTCAGGAATATATAATAAACAACCAAAGGGCACATTCTGCAAGCCTGCCTCCTGGCTGCCAGCACCCAGTCCCTCTCTTTCCATGAGTCCAGAGTTGCTCCCTCTTCCCATGTCCTCCTCTCTGCCTCCATCTGTGGTGTCAGCTGCTTCTATGGATAGGTCAGAAGTGGGTTTTTCTTATCAAAATGTTCAAACACAGATATCCTGTTTCATATTTCAGAGCCATCGCTAGAATCCTTGTCCGAAGCCTTCTTCTGGACTGTTGTTGTAAGGTCTATTCAGAGCTTGGCCCCACGGTCTCCTTTTTCTTTTCTGCCTGGGTAGTCCCAAGTGTTTTTTCGTAGTTGATTCGTTTGTTTTGATGGGTACATACTTTAGTTGTTCTCTGAGAATAGGGGCATAGAAGGCAAATTCTCTGAATCTTTCATGTCTGAAAATGTCTGTTGTCCACTATAATACTTAATACGCTTATTGAGTATCTAATGGTAGGATTCTAAAGGCACTGTTTAAATGGGTTTTTTTTTTAACTTCTGTGTTGCTGAATAAATTGCTTCTGATAGCTTCTGAACAAATTCATTTTTCTGTGTGTGATTTGTTTTGTTTTTTAATCTTAAATTTTTGCAATCTTTTTGTCCCTAGTTTACTGCTCTTTCTGGATGCTATGCCTTGGTCTTAGCTGTGTGTGTTTGTGCACATATAGGGGTAAGTGGGGGGAGAGTGAGTAAACAAGGTACTGTTGTTGTCGTTAAGTGCCATGAGTCATTTCTGACTCCAGTGACCCTGTATTAGGGTTTCTAGGCATGGCTTTTCTTGTCCTTAAGTTTTAGGACATTTTCTTGAATTACTTTTTCTGTCATTTCCATTTTATTTCTGTTTGGTTCTCTGAACATTTCTTTTGTATACCTCTCCTCTTTTTAATTGATGGGTGCTATAGCTTTTCTTGGAGTCCTAGTGTGGCTCTCTGGGTTAATGCAAAGTCATTTGAACTGCAAGGTCGGCGGTTCAAGCTCACCAGCTGTTCCTTGGAAGCCTTATATAGGGTTGCTGTAGGTCAGAACCAACTAACAGCACTTAAACAATAGCTTTTCTCAGAGTTCTGATATAGCGCTGTTGAATAAGCACTGGACTGTTAACCACAAGATTGATGTTTCAGACTCACCAGCCACTCTCAGAAACCCTATGCAGGGTCGCTATGAATTGGAACTGATTCAGCAACAGTTAAAATCTTTTATTTATCTGAGAATAAGAATAATTTTTTTTCTTTTCCTTTTTACAATTTTCTTTTGTTCCCTGCCCTAACTTAGTTTCCTTGAATCCTTTCTACCCCAGTGTTCATTCTCTTCCTCTCTGATGGTGGTTGTAGTAGTACAGAAAGATTCTTAGCCTATTTTGGACATAGTTGGAGCCCTTCCCTTTAGAATCAAGGAAGTAAGTTCTCTTCAAATATATTTATCAAAATATTTTGGAAGCTCTGTAACATAGGTATATATGTGTTTCTACATAGTAATAAGATGCAGAGGTAAATGTGTTAATTTCCATACTTTCAAAGTAGTGATGAGTGTAAGTAATAATTTGAGGTATTTGCACCAACTGTAATGTGTGGTGTGAAAGATGTATTGTTTTTCTTTCTAGTGACAGTCATATGTGTTGCTAATACCACTATAATCTGTAATCTACATTTATAATTTGAAAGGAATGTCTTATTTCAGTTCAGAGGTTAGCATTCCCCCCACCCCACCCCACCCCCACACACGCATTTATGTTGTTGGGATCTTTAAGTTATATCAACAGACCTTTCAGAAATCTGTGAGGTCAAAGTTGAAAAGCTGGTTGCAAGCTATTAGTGGTTGAATGGGGCTTGATCAACAGTGGGCTTAACTGTCATGGGATGCTCAGCCTTCATTATCTGTAGATATCTCCTTTTGGGATTCAGACCTCTTCAGAGAAGAATCTGTCAGTCTCTTGCCTATGGAAGTATAAGCCTTGCTTTCTTATGTTTTCATAGCCAAGTGCAGGGAACTGCACAGGAAGGGGATGGAAACTCTTACTACTTAGTATGTAGCCTCAAACAATATATCTAAATGCTTGTTATCTTTATTTTCCCATGTTGTATATGATTTATTGACTCTATTATAAAAGACAATTTTTCTTTATTATATACGCTACTAAAATTTGCTTTTGTGCTTCAGCTGAATTATTATATATGAGAAGATCTCAAAAAGCTCTTGGAAAAATGGAGCTAAAAGATAGTGGAATTTTGAAGCCCTTTGTCTTTGTATTAGATTTATTCCTGTTGAATGAAAGTAGTTCTGAACAAGGACAAATACCATTTGTAATGCTTTGAAATGCTTACTATAACAAGAAAACTGAACTATTTCTTAAATTTATATTTAATCCTCACCTTAATATTTCAGGAACTTTCCAGTTGTGGATGGAATAAAAAAGAAAAATATAGTTCTGCACCAAATGCTGTTGCCTTCACAAGAAGATTTAATCATGTGAGTTATTTATAAAATTTTGTCATTTCTATTCTGATAATTGATTTCTCAAGATGTAGTTTTTCCTTAGTTAAGTTTATACATTAATTCTGGAATATTTCCAGCTATTATCTTCAAATACTGTCTCTCTACTTGACCTTTATTTTCCCCTTGGACTTCATTTGTTGGAATTTGACATTTTCTCCTACTTGTCTCTTGACCTTTCATTTTTCCATATCTTTGTGCTTCATTTAAGTGAAGAGCTACATTTTAGGTCACCAGTTCTCTTCAAATGTTGTCTTACTTGTTTTAAATCCCTGTGCTTTTACACTACTGTCATTTTCTTGTCTCATTTTATAAAAGTTCTCAAGTCATTTTCAACTTTTTTCTTTATTTCAGTTTCTGTTTTATGATACGAAGTCCTTGAGGGTACTACTCATCTCAGTGACTTTTGCTAATCCTTACAATAATTTGTTTTCGTATGTTTTTTGGATTGTGATCTCATCTCTATGTTAGCTTTATCTGTGAGAATTTGCTGCTGCATAGATGAAGGGGGGAATCCTTTCTGAGAATCTTTTTGTTTGCTTTTACCAGGTATCCAGGGCTATAGCAGAGCTGTATGTGTGACAAAGTGCAAAATGGCACCAGCCATTCCTCCTATGGCACTCTCTACTCAACTGGGCTCAGTAATTCAATGCAAGGGCCAAAAAAAACTCAGACACCATACTCACAGTTAGGGAGTGTTTAGGAAGTTAGCAAGTTATAATTCAGGGTCAGGAATGCTCTTTGCATATAACCAGTCTGTCCTTTGCTCCTCTGCCCCAGCAATGTTACAGAGCTCTTTAAGGGCTGCTGACAAATAAGCTCAATTTTACTTGCTCCATGTGCAGGGACGTCCATCGTTCTATTGTGCTCTGGCTCTTGGTTCTACTACTGATGCTCCTCTGTCACTCCTCGACTGTCACAGCTTCCTGTTCCTGGGTCAAGGAGGTTCAGTGCAGAGGGATCTCGGCATCCAAAGGATGTGCTCCACTCCTGGTCCTTCTTTAATAGTAGTTAGAATCCCCTCTCCTGCTTCTGACATGGCTCATTTAAACCCATGATAAAGTTCCACCTTCTCTTACTCAAATCCATCAGGAAAAATTTGTTTGATGGGAGTTTACAAATTATGATTGCTGCTGCTATGTACCATCGAGTTGGTTCTGACACATAACAACCCTGTATAGCATTTCCAAGGTTGTAAATCTTTACAGGAGCAGAAAGCCTTGTCTTTCTCTGGTGAACCAACTAGTGAAATCAAACCACTGGCCCTGAAGTTACAGTCCAAGGCATAACCCACTACAATACCAGGGCTCCTTACAAATTATGACTAGGTGGTGGTGGTTATGTGCCATGGAGTCGATTCTAACTCATAGCGACAGGGTTTCTGAGGCTGTAAATCTTTACGGGAGCAGAAAGCCTCATCTTTATCCCACGGAACAGCTGGTAGTTTCAAACTGCTGACCTTGCAGTTCACAGCCTGATTTGTAACCACTACGCTACCAGAGCTCCTTACTATGACTAGAAGAGATATTAAATAATTTATTTCACCGCAGAAAGGTTTTGCTTGGGGAATACATATTTCTCTGTAGTTAAAATTTAAACTTCTAATCCAGGAGTCCTGGTGGTGTGTGATTGTTGTAGGATAAGCACTGGACCGCTAGCCACAAAGTCAGCGGTTCAGACCCACCTGCCACTCCTTGGAAACCCTATATAGGGCTTGTTTTGGAGTCCTGGTGTAGTGCTGTGGGCTAATGTGCTGGACTGCAAAGTTGTTCGAAACACAGGGTTGGTGGTTCAAGCTCACCAGCCACTCGTTGGAAACCCTGTACAGAGTCGCTATTGGTTGGAACTGACTCAAGGGCACTTAACAGCAACAACAACAACATAAGTCAGAACCAACTCGACAGCGCGTAACAGCAGCCCAGTTGAGGACAGACCTTTGGTTAGGAATTTTAAGTGAAGACTAATTTTTTTTTTTTTTTTTTTGTCTGTAAGTACCCAGAGCCTTAGCTAATAAAAAGACTTACCTGTTTCCTCCCTCTGTCAATTGTGAAATTTTCAAAGTCCACTTATTTTATGGAGAATGTTGCCCTTTGAGAGAATCCCTTAGATAGGAAACCTGGAGGGTGCGAGGCCTTGTTTCTTTGAATGAGTGCAAGAGGGCTTCAAAAAATTCATGGTAAAAAATCTATTACCTTTTACTTCCATTTTTTCAATGAATTTTTTGAAGCCTCCTTGTATATATTCAAGCTCATGTGTCACTGAGACGGGTAGCAATAATACCAGCTCTTATAACTACTGCTCCACTTTTAATACCTTCTTTGTTTTGGACTTTTAAGGCAGTTTCCTATTTTCCTTTTATAACAGCCATGTCCTTTTTTTTTCTTTTTTTAAGTTTATTGTATCTCACTTAGCTTTTCTGGAGATTTATAGCAAATACATTTTCTGGTTATGAGGTTCACAACATTCCTTAAAATAGAAGTAGGTTAAAGTTTTAAAAATAAGTTTAAACCCATTGCTAAGAGCATAGGGCAAATGTGCCTTACACTGAATTGCATGTTTGAATGTTATATAAGAATTTTTTCTGAGATGATCAGAATTGATTATCACAGGAAAAGAATATCATCTGGCAGTAAATATAGTAGATAAAAGTCTCACCCAATACAGTTTCACCATTTCCACTTGCTTTTGCTCCTTCACTTGTCCTTTTAAATAGTTGTGTTTTGTATTTTGTAATTAGACTAGCACTCCAAACACTTACCAGACGTGGAATACTCTTCTATCTCTTAAAACAGAATGCTTTTTTTCTGATTACTGAAATAATGATAGATATATTCAAATTGAAAAAAATGGCTAGAAAATTGCTCCTGTATCAATAAAATTATTTTGCAAACATTTTTAACGACTGTACAATCTCCTGTCACTTGACTATATCAGAATTTTAATAATTTGTGTGTGCTGGATATTTCTGTGACAACCATCTTTTAGATTTAACACATTTTGGCTGTATATGTAAGGATTTCATATAATCATTTTGTAATTATAGCTAACTATGTATGAATAAATATTTTCTAGAATTTACTATTTTATGAAGTAGTTGATACATTTCCAAGAATCTATGCTAAATATTTATTTGAATGATATGAAAAATTTCTGATGTTGTACCATTTTTAACATGCAAAAATGGCTAGTTCTTATGGTTAACCTAATATATGTTAGAGACAATTACGTTAAACAACTATGAATTTACCTTCTCACCTAAGAAATAGACTAGTACCAAAACTTGAAATGTCTTTCTAAGAGGTATCTATTACCTGGAATTTTTTATGTGTTTTCTTTTTTTCATTCTATTTTTCAATATAGTTGGTCTCTTCTTCTTAATTTCTATAATAACTTTATAGATTTATCAGAAATATTTGTATAATTCTGCTTATTTTTCATTTTCATAAAATACAACATCAGCCTACATGCACATTTGTAAGATACATACGTTTTGACAAGTTGTTTACAAATGAAAATTGTAAGCAAGTTCTGAACTATTTTTCAAAGTGAAGAAATGTGAGACAGTGATATTTAAAGCCAACTTTTACATTAAGGTTTCTGCTTGCAATCAGATTTGTATACATTTGAGGTTGTTTATAGTTCTTTGTGAGTCCTGATGTGGCACTGTAGGATAAGCACTGAACTGCAAGGTTGGTTTGAATCACAAGGTTGATGATTCAAACTCACCAGTCACTCTCAGAAACCCTATGCAGAGTTGCTATGAGTCGGAAGCGACTCAGTGACTTTTTACAACAGCAACAATAGTACTTTGATTTTATTTTCATAGTATATGAATAAAATATGCCACGTACAGGCTACTTTGCAATGTGTGGTAAGTAAGCTTTTTATAGCAGAGTAGAACTTGCTAGTACAATTACTGATCTAGTTGGTTTTCTAATAAGTGATTTTTAATGTTTTCAAAATAAAAGAGTGTCATCGAATTAGAAAGCATTACACAATTTCTAAAATGCAGTCTCATTTTAGAATGGTAACTTAAATATATTTTTTTCTCTCTCTCTTTATTTCGTTTTATTTCTACTAAGAAACCATATGGAATTCTTCATACTTTGGATTCTGCTCAATGTAAATAAGTGACAACATGAGATGACAGGAAATCATGCTTATGAGGAATATCTTTTAAAATGTCTGATTTTAGAGCTCACATAATTCTATCAAAATGTCTCAAAGTACTTGTAGAGACAAGTATTCATGTTGTATCAATCTGGTTGTATTGCATTCTGTTTTCCCTCTCAAAATTTGTACTAACTTTCACAAGTTAAAAATCATGGTGATAATTTTGTGTTTCCTGGTGTGGTACTGTAGAATTAAACTACCAGAAGGTCTTCAGTTCAAACCCACCAGCCACTTTTTCGAAACCCTATACAGGGTCGCTATGCATTGGAACTGACTCACATGTACTTAACAACAATAGCAACATACTGTATCTGTAAGGAGACTTGTGGCACTGTAGGATATGCACTGGATTGCTACTGGGTTGTTCAAATCCACAACCTACTCTACATGAAAAAGATTCAGTTTTCTGCCCTGGTGTGGTGCTGTGGGTTAATATGCTAGATTGCAAGGCATGTTTGAACTGCAAGGTCACTGGTTCAAGGTTACCAGCTGCTCCTCGGTCACTATGTGTTGGAACCAACTCAGTGGCACTTGCAGCAAAGATTTGTAGCCTTGGAAATCCTGTTCAGGGTTGTTAAAAGTTGGAATGGACTCGATGGCAGTGTGTTTGGTTTTAGGTATACTATATCTGAATACCATATTTGTGTATCTATTACTGTATATATATTAAGGCTATGCAGCATTTGAAGATTGGTTATACCTTTGGGGTGAGCCCTGGGTTTCATCATTAATCTGGGTTTCATCTTATTTAGTGAATAAAGAATCTCGCTTGAACTTTAAAATTTTTATTTGCAGGTAAGCTTTTGGGTTGTTAGAGAGATTCTTCATGCTCAAACATTAAAAATCAGAGCAGAAGTTTTGAGCCACTATATTAAAACTGCTAAGGTAAGAAAAAGTTGTGTTTATACTTTGAGATCAACCAGTCAATGATGTATTAAAGTGAATATTTGCTTGTGATACTCTATTTGCTGTTTATTGACCCTGAGAAATAAAGCCTATTTATATAAGTCAGGTGCCTATTTTCTCTCCCCTTTTTCTGTCATTGCCTCTCTTCTTTTATGTCCTTCCTACCTCTTAACTTATTTCACAAGAAAACAGAAAGTGAAATGTGACACTAATAAGATATTGGGCTTTATTCTTCAAATGATAAAGAAAACCATATGGGATTAGGTAGAATTCATGGTCAGTCATTTGCTTTAAAAGTAGGTTACTCTGCCAACCACGTAGAAAAGGATTCTATTTTAGGTTTAAAAAGAGTTGTATCAGTACATGTATTACCAGATACATTAATTGACCTTTTAATGCTTGGCATAGAAAATAAATACAGCAAGAGAAATAGAGGAAGGATTTCAAGGACAGCCAGAGTTTGAGAGGGGAATGGAACAGGACATGTCACGAGAGGATTGTTGTTGTTAGGTGTTATTGAGGAGGTACTGACTCATAGTTAGTTACCCTATGTGCAACAGAATGAAACACAGCCTGGTCTGGGGCCAACCTCACAATTGTTGCCACGTTTGAGCCCATTGATGGTATCACTTTGCCAATCCATCTTGCTGGGGGTCTTCCTCTTTTTCTCTGATCCTCCACCTTACCAAGCAAAATATCCTTCTCCAGCGACTGGTCCCTCCTGACAGTATGTCCAAAGTATGAGAGACGAAGTGTGGCCATCCTGGCCTCCAAGGAGCACTCTGGCTGCACTTCTTCCAATACACATCTGTTGGTTCTTTTGGTAGCCCATGGCACTTTCAGTATTCTCCTCCAACACCATAACTTAAATGGTCTTCCTTATTCTATTGACTGTCCAGCTTTTACATGCATGCATATGAGGTTATTGAAAATACCATGGCTTGGGTCAGGCACACCTTAGTCCTCAAGCTGACATCTTTGCTCTTATACACTTTAAAAAGGTCTTGTGCAAGAGGATACAAGGTTTTATTCAAACTTGTAACAAGTCTAAATTTATGTTAATGTCATTAAGAAATGTGGTAGTTCGTCATTACTCTTAAAATAAATACTCATTTGTGAATTAAGTGAAACAAAGTAAAATGCTATTGACAGTTTTTATGTCAAAGTGTTTGCAGTTTCCTTGAGCACATAGGAGCAGTTATTTTTAACAAGTTATATGACACTAGGTGGCAGAGCTAGCCTTTGTAAACATTTGAGAGGATTGCACAGTGCCAGTGTTCTGTTTTATTGTACATAGAGTCACTATGAGTTAGAACTGACTCCATAGCACCTAACAACAGCAACAGTCTATAGAAAACTCTCATTATTTTGCCCATCAAACCTACCATTATTCTTTCCATCAAATAATCATTTAATTCCAGTTCAGACACGGACTTTTGAGTTATTTTTGACAGCTCTTGTCTTCATCCCAAGCATTAAAGTTTATTGTTTTCTTGATCACTGTCTCTTAAATCCCACTTTCCTGATGCTCAGCCTCTCATATTCAGGTCTTTCTCTTCTTCTGTTGTTTTTATTTTATTGTTAAACAAATAATAATGTTGTTTCATATGTGTTTTGCACTTTGTTTAAATGAAATAAGTCCATTATTACATTTATTCTATTATATTATAACTTGATTTTTAAATTCAGTGGTTGCTGAATTTGTATGTATGGTAGGGTATAGCACTGTTACATTCTGTTGTTTGCGTATGTTGTTGTTGTTGTTGTTAGGGGCCATCGAGTTGGTACTGACTCGTAGCGACCTTATGCACAGCAGAACAAAACACTGCCTGATCCTGGGCCAACCTCGCTACTGCTGCCACGCTTGAGTCCATCGATGCTGTCACTTGGCCAGTCCATCTCGTTGGGGGTCCTCTCTTTTCCTCTGACCCTCAACCCTACCAAACATGATATCCTTCTTCAGGGACTAGTCCCTCCTGACAATATGTCTGAAGTATGAGAGACGAAGTTTGGCCATCTTGGCCTCCAAGGAGCTCTCTGGCTGCAATTCTTTCTAAACAGATCTATTGGTTCTTTTGGCAACCCATGGCACTTTGAATACTCTCCTCCAACACCACAATTCAAAGGCATCAATTATGCTACTATCTTCCATATTCACTGTCCAGCTTTCGCATGCGTATGAGGTTATTGAAAATACCATGGCTTGGGTCAGGTGCACCTTAGTCCTTAAGCTGACATCTTTACTCTTCAACACTTTAAAAAGGTCTTGTGCGGCAGATTTGCCTAATGCAATACATCATTTGATTTCTTGACTGCTGCTTTCGTGAGTGTTGATAGTTGATCCAAGAAGAACGAAGTCCTTGACAACTTCAGTCTTTTCTCCATTGATAAGAGTGTTGTTTATTGGTCCAGTGGTGAGGATTTTTGTTTTATTCACATTGACATGCAATCCATCTTACTGAAGGCAGTACTCTTTGATCTTCATCAGTAAATATTTTAAGTCCTCTTCACTTTCAGTGAGCAAGGATGTATCACCTTGATATTGCACAATTTATATTCTGTAGTTTGAGCAGCTTTCCAATTTTTGTTATAAACACTGCCACTGTCAGCATTCTCATATGAATCTCCTGGTGCTCCTGTGAGAATTGAAGCCCTTGATACCTAGAGAGTTTATATTAGGAGCAGAGCTTTTGCATTAGAGTGATATGTGCATCTCTCTGATTCCCAAACTGCTGGCAGTACTAAGTCATACTGCCTCTAGCAATGATGTTATGTATTTATCTCTACTTGATTTGATATTGGCGGAGGCTTTCGTTACCAAGCCTGGTTGGTGTAAAATGTATCGTATTTTACCTTTAGTTGCCTTTCAGTGAATCTAATGACAATTAACATCTTTTTTCTATCTTTTCTCTTCTGAAATGCCTGTTTAACCAAGTTCTTGGGACAATTTTCTGATGTGTTGTTGGCTTTATATTGATTTGTTTGTGTGTGTGTGT